GGAAAACCAGGTGCCGATGCTCATCCGGAGGAAGGAAGCAAAGGACTATGGTAAAACCCTCAAATCAAGAATTTCTGTCAGCTTGTTGTTTGGGAAAGGAATTTGTATATTTGGAGTTCTGTAGTGATGTGCAGCATCTCCATCTCGGTTACCACTGCAAATCAACAAGCAGCTTCTTTTCTCCCTAAAACATAACACCTGCAGCATCCCAACCTGATCAGGCTATCCCTGCTGGTTGCTGGTTAGGCTGCAGGTTGAATCCTCTTGTAGTAGTTTTGGAGACTTTTCAAGTGGATTTTCAGTTTCTTCAGTTTTGTTTGTGAGCGTTGGGGTCTTTTTTCTCTTTTTTAGCAGCATCTGGTTTTTTTTGTTGGCACCATTACTATAGTTCTGGGTTATTGGCCTCTTCCAGAAACCAGGATTTATAACTCAGGTTCTCTAACATACTGAGACCAGTGCCAAGTTTTGACCTCAAACAGAACTTTCTGCATATTGATTCCCAAGAAGAACCTTTCTAGTCTCTTCTTCATTTTTCTCTCAAACGCCTTTTTCTTTCATTATCCCATGGTCCTGTAATCAGTGGGCCAGGTGAGCAGCAGTCCCTTCTCTATTCAATGAACCATTTATTCAGTTTAGATAGGGGAAGAGGGACAGCAGACTGAAGCATTAATCTGCCATGTAACTAGATTTCTAGGCATGATAAGAACTGTCCTCTTCCAGTACTGTGTAATTAGAAAGTCTGCTTGTCAAGGCTAAACACTCTTCCTGTGTCAGGCAGTGGGCCAGGCAGGAAAACATTTGCTGTACCTCCTTGTGAAGCACAAGCCAGTTGTGACAGCCATTAACTGCCTGACACGAGGTTTGTGGTGTCACACAGATTGTAAAGCTCTAAGTGTGCTTGTTCTCTAGGCTGCCGTGGCCTAAGCACCACACTGCATCGTGTTCTCCTGCTGCTTGCTGCTTCCTGGGAATGCTGAGCATCTTTTGTTGCTGCCCCCCAGGAGGCCTTTCATGGATGTGTGCCTGTTGGTAGTTAGGACAAAGGCATTTGGGGCTTTACTTCTTCTAATTGTTCTAAGGGGCATATTAAGCACAAAATGCTGCCTGTGGAAAATAGGGAACAAGCTGAAGAGTGCCAATAACTTGGCTGCTTTAAAGATGTTTTAAATAATGAGAAAATAGTGTAGTAATTCAGAGCTTTCAATTCATGACAGTTTCTTATCCAAACATTTGAATTTGTGCTCTTAACAGTGTGTCAGTTTTGTTAATGGAATGTAACTTCTGGAAACATAAAGTAGTATTTTATTAGCTTGGAGAAGTCTTTATGAATTGAATTGCAAGTCAGTGACTGAGCTGTGGTAAGAACTGTGATAACTGGTATCACATAATAACTAAACAGATGACCTCTCCATACTGACAGTGAATATGAAATTCCTGTTCTCTTGAAGTCCAGTTCCATTGGACTCCAGGATGTGCTGCAGGGTATGCTTGTATGTGAAACAAATACAATCTTTATATTAGCACAGTAAGTTAAAGTAAACTTTCTCCATTTACTGGAGTGTTTGGTTTTTATTTCTAAGGTACTAAGCGGATGGTAGAAGGCACCATTAATCCAGGAGAGACATGCCTGATCATTGAAGATGTGGTAACCAGTGGATCCAGTGTACTAGAAACTGCAGAAGTTCTTCAGAAAGAAGGATTAAAAGTCACAGATGCCATAGTGCTGTTGGACAGGGAGCAGGGAGGGAAGGCCAGGTTAGAGGAACGTGGAATTCGCCTGCACTCTGTGTGCACCTTGTCCAGGGTATTGGAGATTCTCCAGCAACAGGGAGAAGTGGCTGCTGACATGGTTGAAAAGGTGAAGAAATTCATTCAGGGAAGTGTGTTTGAGCCAGTGGCTCAGAATGGTCCTGCTCCCGTGAAGAGAATCTGTAAGGAGCTGAGCTTCAGTGCTCGTGCCCAGCTGCCAGGGGTACATCCTATTGCAGCCAAGCTTCTCATGCTCATGGAAAAGAAGCAAACAAACTTGTGTCTTTCTGCTGATGTCACCAGCTCCAAAGAGCTGCTGCAGTTAGCTGCCATCCTGGGCCCCAGCATTTGTATCCTGAAGACTCATATAGACATCTTGAACGATTTCACCCAAGAGGTAGTAAAGGAGTTGAGAACACTTGCAGATCGACACGAATTCTTGATTTTTGAAGACAGGAAATTTGCAGACATTGGAAACACAGTGAAACATCAATATGAAGGTGATTATCATCAACCTTGATTTACTGTAATTTTGCTGACAGTGTATGTAACTGGAGTGTTGGCACAGGTTGCCAGGAGAGAGCGTGGAATCTCCAGCCTTGGAAAATACTCAAGGGGACAAGGCCTTGAGCAACCTGCTGTAGCTTTGAAGTTAATCCTCCTGAGAGGGCATGACCTCCTGAGGTTCCTTCCAACCTAAATCTTTTTATGAGACTGTGCTTGTGCTCAGTAAGTACTTCTGAGTAGTTGTGTGCTGTGAGAAACTGCAGCCTGGCTTCTTAAGGCAGCCTGCTGTTACTGTATGCTTGTGTGCTTGTTGCAGCCATTTGGTATTGCATCTGCAGCTGTAGAACTGCTTTTTTCCTGATCCTTATATCCCATATGAGCTGCATACTGTCTGGGAAGATAGCACCTATGACAGTGGATTTCTAGGCTACCATAAATGTCTCAGCAAATACTAAAGGTGAGACACTAACAAGTGTTTGTGAAAAGTAAACTGATAAATTACAGTTTGTGGTTATCAGCCATCACAACTGTCTGATGAGACTGAGTTTGCAACTGTCAAGCTTCAGTAGTAAAACTGTCTTTTAAAATGGGAGTGATTTAGTGTGTGGCTGTTTTTGTTTAACTTGTGTTTTCTCTTTAACATGTCTCTAATGACTCTTTGCCTGTGTCTTCCTATCCATGTTCTCAGGTGGTGTGTTCAGAATTGCATCCTGGTCAGACATTGTTAATGCCCATGTGGTTCCAGGCTCTGGAGTTGTGAAAGGTCTGAAGGAAGTAGGTCTTCCTCTCCAGCGTGGCTGTCTTCTGATTGCTGAGATGAGTTCCCAAGGGTCACTGGCAACGGGTGAATACACAAAAGCTGCAGTAAGTAGGCACTCTTGTTTCAGGTTAAAAGCTTGTAAAGTGTGACGGGGAGATTTTATGTGCTTCTAACATTTGCACTTACAAAAGTCCCTCCGGTTCTAACTAGTACAGATGTTTTTTCCTTGGAGACTCAGGAATCTGACAGTGTCGTGTTTGAAGGTTGCAGCTGTAGGTTAGTGATGTGAGGTGGTCTGAATTCTAGTAAACATGCCAAGTTTGCTATTAGCACCTCTCTTTTTTTTTCTCTTTAAGCAATACATTTCTAATTAGTTTAAATTGATTATATTTCTAACATAGAAAGAAATATAATATTCACTTTCCTGCCAGAGGGGTGAGTAAGCTCTGGGTGGCTTTACATTGTTAAAGCAAGGAGAGGTGTTTCATACCCCTGTCTTGCACAGCTTAATGTGTCAAAGGGTGGATGAGAAAGAGATTTCTAATCCAGCTGAATTTTAAGTGTGTCATTTGTAACTGTTCACTGATCTTCAGGTACAGATGGCTGAAGACAACTCTGATTTTGTTTTTGGATTCATATCTGGATCTAGAGTTAGTAATAAACCAGAATTTCTTCACTTGACTCCAGGGGTGCAGCTGCAAACTGGAGGTAACTTTTCCTGAAATATTATAGTCTGTAGGTACAGAAGTGTTTAAGCCTTCAGTGAAAAAGTGACTTCTGGGTTTGGTTGCTGATTCTCTAGTGGAAGGATTCTGTTTGCCACTAAGGGTTGTCTTCCATATTTCTGGGTGTATTTCTGGTGGGTATGCTGATCCCTTTCTTGGGAGCTCTGAAGGCTACACAGCCTTTTTTCTTGTTTTGAGGTTCGTGGATACTATAAAGCACAGTCCTGAAAACATGTGATACGTCTTCAGATTGGTGTTAGGTTAGATGTAAAACTACTCAGTAGGAGTAGAAAAAAACATCTTTAACAAATACACAAGTCCCAGCTATAACGCTTGGTACTGATATAGATGCAGTATCAATGAGCTGGAAGTCTTGTACTGACTAAGCAGGTTATCATAGAGGACAGGGGAGATATGTTTCTCTGCAATACTTAATTGTTATGAAACCTAAAGTGAAATCACAAGCTTTTACGTGAGTGTTTGGGGGTTTTGCCTGGTTTAAGAAGGCTGAGGCTCACTTCTGTAATCCTGATTGGTGCTTCTTTCTGTAACTGCTCATCTATTTTGATTGGTAAATCATGAAAAGGGAGGATGGTGCCTGTAAAATTTGATATGTGTAATAGGGGGTTTGTTAGTTGGTGGCACAGTTTCTAGTTTGTGGATTGTTAGGGAGAGAGCTGGAGCAGCATACCAGATTCTCTATTCCAGTCTGTCTTTTGAAGACTTTTAGTAGACACAGTTTTGTATGAACTAAAAAAAATGTTGTCTCTATTTCAGGTGATAACCTTGGACAGAAGTACCTAAGTCCCAAAGAAGTTATTAGTGAAAAAGGTTCAGATATCATTATTGTGGGACGTGGCATCTTGTCAGCTTCAGACCATCTTCAGGAAGCAGAGAAGTACAGGAAGGCAGCGTGGGACAGCTATATGAGCAGGCTTGGTGCTCATGCAGCAGATTGAAAAGAGAACACTGTCCTAATCCGTAAGCAAAGCTGATGGGGCTGCAGCTGTGGTGAGAGTTCCAGTTAAATACACAAGACATTTTGGCCCATAAAAATCTGCCCTTTTGGAGAAAAATCTGTTACTAAGTTTTAATTGTGCACACATAGATCAGGTTGTACTTGTCATAGTTGTTTTTATAATATTTGAATGTAAGAAAGAAGTTTTTAGCCTTAATGGGCTTTCTTGTTTGAAAAATGTTGCACAAAACACTCCAAGGGTATTTGGTTGGCTGTTGTTGCCTTTGTTTCTTTTCCCCACCTTCAAATTCCAAGGAACAAGTGCAGGTTTTAATCCTACTCTGTGAAATTGAATTATGTGTCATTTAATAAATACTTTTTTACTACCCTTTTCCTTTCATTGGTTCTAGAAGTCTTCCTTCTGTGGCAGTGTGAAGTACTGTTCTCAGAACCCCGAAAGTCATTCTGGTGTGTTTGTGACTGCAGAAATTACTCATGATTCTGTTTGCAGGAACTACAAAGAATTCGTCAGAGCAATTAGTTGTTTGTTTAATTACAGTGGAGCTGTTGATTCCTCTAATGAGAAACAAAAATGTACTTTATTGACTTTGTGACCATAGGAAGAATATTTTCAGGAATTACTTTCCACTCTTCATGATGATTAAGGAGAATTAGAAATGTCTTGAATGATTTGCTTTGATTAGAAAGTATGGTATAACCTTAAGTATATCCAGCATATGTGTGGTGGAAATTGGTAGAATTTTTATTACTCTGAAGAAGTCAGAGACAAATGGTGATGCAGTTGCTGTTCCAAAATGCACAGAGAAATCTGGGTCCTTTTATTAATGCATTTACCTGTAGACTAGGAACAACTGTGTTTTGTGAGAAGAGTTTTGGAATTAAGTTGTGGACTGTTCATCAAGTCTTTCAGACTCAGAGATTGGAGGGGTTTTTGTTGATTGGATTAAAGACAAGGGACACGGGCTTGGATTTGAGGGCTTTGCCTTATGCCTCTTGTTTTAGTGACATTGTGCTCTGTTGGCAGGCAGAGTTTGGCAACATACAACTGAAAGACTTCCTCTGTCTGGGCATGTTGGGTGGGATGGCTTCACTCTTTCACACTCCACGTGCCCAGGAAGTGTGTTTCTACACCTCTTCATCATGGGGCTGCTTGTGAGACTAAAGATGGTTATTGTGGAGAGAACGTTAGAGCTTGCTCAGCATGTGTGTGTTTTATTTTCCTTGGAACTGCTGCTTGCTCCAGTAGGCTGCTTATGTGTCATACTTTACATCTGGAGAACTCCACCCTGAGGAAGATGAAACTTGATGAGCATCTTGTATTTTGTGCAGACAGCATGCAACAGTGTGTGAGTCGGGATATTTCACATCAACTTCCAAGAAGTTCCAGTTCTTCAAAGTGAACAGTGGATTTGAGATTTTTTTAATGTCTCATTGCCCCATGGCCTGTAGTAGAAACGAGACTTTCTCACTTTAACTTTTTGCAGAAAATTACTTTTGCCACCAGAGGGAGCAGAGATTCTATGTTTCAGGAGCATTGACGCCCTGGCTAATAGTTTCCAGCAATGATATCCTCGGGATGAAAATCTGTCTGGTTTGAAACAAGTTACACCCTTGCTGTTGCCCTCATCTAAACCAGTAGTTCATCAAAAAGCTGCCTCGGGCTGGAGTTCAGCACTGTGTGTTGTTGTTGTTGTAGGCTCTGTGTCACAGCACAAGCAGAATTTCATGAGTTTGGTATTTTCCACTAACTATGCTGAACTGTGTTAAGCTGTGGCTGACATCTACACAGCTAAATCTCCAGGCTCTTTGCAGAGGTAATTTATCAGGCCTCTAGCTGAAAAAAATAGCAACTGGATTTGGAAAGATGGGTATGATCTAATATCCAGTAACTTCTGGAGGATACGTGCAACTCTTTACAAAACAAGTTCTGAGAAACAGACCAATAGGGAACTTCATTTCACAGCTCTTCTTTGTGCACTCCAGAAAGAGCTGTGTTCTGGCACTTCATTTGACACCAGTTGCAAACGTTTCAATTAGTAACACAAAAACATGTTACCTCCTATAGGCATTCTTCTGTCAGAATGATTATAGTAAACAAGTGTGTGCACTTCCTTTGAGGCACCTGAAAGTGATTAAAAATCCATCTCAAATTAAGAACAAATGTTAATTTCCTTGCTTGCCCCTGCTGCTCACATTCATCACAGAGTTCCTGCTGTTGGTCCCAACTGTTCCTAACATGGGAACTAGGTCACAATTTACAAAACTCATTTGCATCATAATATATGAATCTGAAAGTCTTGCAGTTCATTCCGTGATCTGATTGAGTCTGTGGTAAAGGCATCAGGTTGTGCTTAAGTTACTGGGCTATCACATAAGTAATATTATCTGGTGAGTAGGCATTGATATGAAACTGTGATCTTTAATCTACTCTGGAGTATAGTTTGTAACACAGTGAAAGGATATCACATTTTTCATAGTTGAGTAGGACTGTGACCAAGAGTTGTCAGTGCTTTGGCAGAAAATAAGCTGACTTGCTGCTATTTCTGAGCAGCATAGCAGGGACCATGTGAGAGACCAGCACAGGCTGGAACCACTAAGGAATTGTCACACAGCTTAGCATATTTGTATGTGAAGTTCACTCCATGTCCCTGAGGTTGTGGGTATCTATGTCTAGCACAAGGAGTGCTGTGTCAAGAGAACCCAGCCTGGGCACTTCAGTCAGCATTACTGCATAAGTACAGTGCTTTACTTGGACTTAAAATTCTTGAAAAATCTTGATAAACCCAGTGCTGAATTAAAACCAGCCAGTTTAGAACATTTGTCCTTAAAAGTATGATTTGTGTGTTGCAGTATCAACATAGCTTTATGAATCAACAACTGACAGGTCATATTATAGTTTCCATAGCCAACTCTATGAAAATTTGAGACTTAATCCCAGAAAAATAACTGAATCCCTGCCCTTTAAGTTTATGTGGAAAGCCTGTTGCTGTGGATTTTTTTAGCAAGAGACACAAACATTGCATTTAGGGAATAGCACCAAAGGAATGTGAAACACCCAGGGGAAGTTTGTTTCCAGATCTGACTTTTGGAGGTCACTGTCTCAGGGAATGGTCTGTTTTGGAAGGCTTGTAACTGGGCTGTGGGCTAGACAGGCTGGATTGTTTGTTTGTTTGTAATCACACTAGTGGTTCTTGGTCCTGTACCACAGTGACAAGTACAGCTTCAAGTCTGAATGTTGCAGAAAGTAAAACTGGTTCCTGCTCCAGCTTCAAGCTTTTCCCTAATTCCTTTGGCAGGAATTTGCAGGCCAGGAGAAGTGACCCTGCCTGTGTGTCTGGGTTGATTTTGTCCTCAGTCTTGGTTCTCTGGTTCTACATGACATATGTCCTCCTCTTAACTTTTTCAGGCTATGTTTAGCCCAAATGGGCATTGCAGGAGGAGAAGCTAAGCACTGCAGTTGCTTTTTATCCGTCTCTGAACAGCTAATTGTAGCTATGAAAAAGATACTTTCACAAACAGGACTATTTAGACAAGGAAGTTCTGCAGTGTTCCTGCAGCTAATCATTTCCACTTTGCTAAGGGGTAGCATTTTAGGCTGATGATGGGAACAGCCGTAAAGGTGGCCTAGTTATAACGAAAAATGTTGAACTGAAGACGATCTCTGCTTAAATACTGCCAGAGAAATTGCCTGCCAGCCTGGGAACCAGAAGCATCTTTGTGAAGTGCAGCTGGATACTGAGAAATCAAAGACATTCTGAGATTGCATTGCTAAGTGCAAAACCAAGGAACTGTAACAGCGACTTATCATCTGGGAAGGTGAAAAAAATGTCTGGAAAAGGAAGAAAACATTCTGAGAAAGGAAGAGTTGGTAACTGGCATGGACTGTTCTAACTCTCAGAACAGAAAAACAGTCTAATCAAACAAAAATTGGTCTGTGAATAGAAAACATCATCAGTTATTGGCTGTGCCAGGTAAAAAGTAGAAATGGGCAGCATTTATTGGCTGCGCCAGGCTGTGGTATCCTAGGCCCCTGTATGTCACTGTGGTATAAAAATGACTTACCTTTTACCCAAAGTGGAGCCCCTTTGCCTCTCCTTTTTACCCATGAGATTTCCTCAGCAGAGTCGACCCTCACTAGGAACACCAGGCTGACTCTAGGCTCTGTGGTGTGGATCATCATTCCAGTGAGACTTCATCCATCCATCCATCCGTCGTCGACTGGCCCCACATCTGGGATGGGTTTGATTGCCCCCACTGCTGGGATCAGTTTGATGAGCACTTGGTACAGGTAATATTTTTGAATATATATATTTACATAATGGTCTGCCTGTTAGCAGTTACTGATGAGTACATTTGCTGCTTTACCAGTGGTAATTATGCAGTAATTTGTAATATTGAAATACAGACTTGGTGCTAGTATGGATTGCAGCTGCTGCGGAAATATGTGTTTGCTTTCTGGTAGTAATTTGTAGTAACTTGCAGAGTAAATATACCTGTTCTGTAAATTGCAACTATACTTATCTTGATAGTAGTAAACTGTAATGTTTAAGGGAACATAGGTAATAAATCCTCTGTGTCTTTGTGCATGACAGAGCCAGGCAAACCTCCAAACAGTTGCAATCTTTGTATACTCACAAGCCAAGTCACCCTTTGGGTTGTGGCATTAATTGGTGTCACAAGTGAGCTGTGATACACAGGTCATGGGCGCTTAAGAGAAGGCAGTAGAACAGCAGTGAAAATGGCAAGAGATTTGTGGAAAATCCCTGGGTGGGACAGTGATAGGGTGTCTGAGAATTGGTTGAATTGGGAAATGCTGTGAGCAGAGTTTCAGCAGCAGCAGGAGACTCAAATGCAGAGCAGAGGATGACAAAGGGTCCTTCACTGCGCTTCTCACAGAGGTGTTGGCACATGTGGGTGCTTTGTTTAACACTGCTAGGCAGGAACTGGAAGCTTTGCAGCAGGCTAAGGATGCAGAATGTGAACAGTTACCTTTGAATCCCATCATTTTGTTGCAAACCAGTTAATTAAAAACGAAGGTCAAACGAAGGTCGGACCTCTATCTGTACAACAGCTGAAAATGGATAACGAGCAGGAGGCTTTGATTCTGGCAGCAGGTCTTCCTCCCCCACTTCATTACCTGAGCTTCGTCCAGATAGCACAGCCTCCCTTTACCTTGACTCTAAAACTTCCCCAGTACTACTTCTGGCTTCTCCTGGAGAGGAAGGTGCTCCCCTGCTGCCTGGGGTCACAATGACCACTACGAATTTCAGTGCTGAACAACTAAAGCTCCCTCTAGTACTCTTGAGGGATTTTCTGGCTGCATGATGAGACTCACTGCTTGGGATATCCGTAAGGGACAGGGGCAATACCCTGGGACATGATGGCTCTGCCAGCAACAGCAGCAGGGGAAAAAACCTTGCAAAATGCAGCACCCTGAGGGCCCCAAAAACCTGGCATAAAACCTGTTTTTCATCCACTCCTTCTGGTTTTCAGAAGAATGAGAACTGTGGGGCCTCTGGTGGTCCTTCTCCTGGTTTGCTTCTCTCTTCCCAGACATTATTCCCAGGTATGCATAGCAGTCAAGAGCTGCCTCATTAATCACCTTCTTGACCTTCAATCACTGTCTCTAAGAGCCTCTGAGGAATGAGCAACCTCTGTGATGGAACCCAATCTGCAATGGTCTTTAAGTAGTGGGACTGCAGTCCCCCCTCCTTCTGAACATGTCAACAAGATGTTTCATTATCCAGATGTTGGCTTCAATCTAGTTTTCTCCCTTTTATCTTCACCAGGCTCTTGTATAGAACTCATCTCTTATCACTGATCTGCTTTGCACTTTTAGATGGAAGATGTTCCACAATTAGTTTGTTGATGTTCTTGCTCCCCTTGTGCTGCTAATCCAACTTCTTTAGCTTCCTTCCAACTTCCTCCTCCATCCAGCATTGCTTGTGGATTCCCCAAGCCAACCTGTCCTTGAGGTGAGAGATGGCAATCTGCTCAATGTTCCTTACAGCTGGATGCACTAATATCTTGTGCTGACCCAGGCCAATTCTTGTTTTAAAGTCCCTTCTGCACACCTCACAGATCCACTCCCTCGTGGGAGCCACTTCTCCAATACCAGGTTGGATACAATAGCTCCTCTGCTTTCCACATGGCTAGAGAAATGCAAGGTTAAACAGGTTCAAGAGTGTGGAACATTCATCTTCCAGAGCTTGGCCTTTGCCTTCAGCTATTGAGCATCTTCTCAGTCCACCATAAAGAGCATGGCCTCACTGAGGCTTGTGTCTCCACAATTAACAAAGCAAATAATGCTACCATTGGCCTTGACTTTTCCCAAGGAATGGTTCTCTCTCCTCCCCCAGAAATACCAGCAGCACAGGGAAAAGGCATTGGTGAGCCCCAGCCCCAGTGTCCCTGCAGCAGCAGCCGCCAGCTGTGGCTGGGGGAACAGGAGGAGCTGATATTGCAACGTGCAACGGCATCCAGATTCCAGCTTGGCTAGACAAGCACCGACATTTTTCCATCACATGTGACCCGTTGGTGCCTTCTGCTGGAGTTCTCATTCAGGAATGCTCGCTGTGGTCAGACTGCCTGTATTTACAGACACAAATAAACTGCCACTGACTGAAAGACACCATTCCCATGACTGTTTGGCAGTAACCTTACAAGAGTAAAGGCGGATCTGCTTACACAGTCATGCAAAACCTTAGCATCACTTCCTTCTTTTATTTAGATGTAACCTTGTGGAGAAGCTAAATTTGAGGGGGGAAGACATTGACACCCTCTGCCCTGCCTGGCAAGATGCTCTTTACCCTATCCCCTGTGGCACCCTTCCCTCTCCCACATTGCTCCCTAGCTGCTCTGCAGACCAGTTTGCTGTACAGCTGTGCAGAGGAGGGAGGGCACATGCAGTCCCATCCCCAAGCCTTTCCTTTTTTCCACTCTCCCTACCCAAACCACCCCTTAGCAATGAGTCAAATCTTGGCTCCCTGTGACTGCCTGGATTGCCCAGTCTCTCCGCTAACCCAGTGTTGTGGGAAATACCACAGCACAAAGGTAATCTGAAAGGGTGCAAGGGAAAGGGTGCCAGGGGGGCACTGCCTATGCCTTTCCTTTCAGAGTGCAAAAGGGTGGATTCATTTTTAAACTGCTTTGGTCCCTCACAAATCAACTGCAGCAGAACTGTATTCACAGTGTTTGCCTCTTTGGGTAGCAAAACTGGTTTAGAGAATTCCTGCCCTTCCTTTCCCTCTGCTTTCCTTCCTGCTCCCCCTTTCTCTGCCTGGGGCACTATGGCTTGCGGGAGGCAGTCAGATGAACCAAGCTAAATAAAACCTGTTCTGTCTACTTGTGATGATTATTTTTTGACCGTTTTCTATTTTTAGTTCTGTGATAGTGATGAAATCTGTCTTGGCAGCCCTTCACAAGGCAGTGGGATGGGCACAAAAGCCAAATTTGCCCCATGGATGCTCCTTCCCAGGTGGCAGTGTTAGTCCCAGGTATTCAATATGCACTGTCTCAGCCTGCAAATTTAGCATGGACTTCAATATTGTGTAGGAAACCTGGAACTCTGAAGAGCTGTCCCTCTGCAGTGACCAGGCCAGTCCTGTTGCTGATGGTGCTGCAGGGAGGAGGCAGCTCAGCCCCCAGCCCACCCACAGTATAACACACCAGGGCACTACCAGCATTTAACCAGAGCCTGCCCTTGCACTTGTTCAGTATGTATGCATTCTCCTACCCTGCTAGGGCAGATTTAGTGAAAACAAATGAGAAGACAAGGTACAGTTTTCATTTGCTTGAGGTTTTAGGAGGTTTACCCCATTTTTTTACCTATGCTGCCGTTGGGCCACTTGCTGCCCTTCTCAAAATCCCTGTTCTGAGATATTTTTAGTGTGGTCTGCTGCATTTCTTAAGTGCTGCTAGTAGGAGGAGGGGGGACCATAAACTTCTTGAAGGAGAGATGTTTATTTGTCTGAACAAATAAGAGCTTCTGTTTATAGAGGCAAAAACACATGAAAAAAATAAATCCGGAAGGATGGGCCCATGGCCCTTTTCCAATGAGAAGAGCAAGTCAAAACAATGAACACCATTTGTTTTTGCTTTTCCCTGGCAAGCTTCCTTCAGCTGACTATTGCATGATCTGTTCAGGGTGAAGAGACAAGAAGAAAAGAAATTTAAAAAGAAGGGAAAAAACCCAAGCAGTAGCAATTGCTCTGGCTCCTCTCTCCTGCAGTGGCTGCAGCCCCTCTGCTGGGGTTGCAGCCCCTCTGGTGTGGGTTTAAAGCTGCAGCTGTCAACCAGGTAACCTAAACCCCAGCTCCACAGGAAAACAGATGGGGCTGGGGGAATAGTTTGGGGGGGTGGAGGGGAAACAGCAAAACCAAAGCAAAATGTATGTTGTGAAGCAACAACACTGGGGTTTATCCAACTCCCTGTCCCGCCAAAAGTTCAGGGCCCCCTGCTTTTCCAGCTGCGCTCTGCTGGACCCCACAGCAATAGTCCTCTGGTAAAAAGTCAGAGGTTTGGATGAGCTGCTGTGAGCTCTCAGCTGCCCTCCTACAGGCACTCAGGCCAGACACCTACTTGCACACCCCAAGGAATGGGTGTTTAATTTATTTTCCTGAGTCTAAACTCCCATTTCCCTTGGGCTCCTACCAGTCTCCTGTCTGTTTAACACCACGAGTTCAGAGCAGGAGCTCCTTGAGGCACTCCCTGCCCTGGGTCAACACCAGGGTATTAAATCAACATGACTTCTGTGGCAGTCCCTGTGGCTCCAGCTCCTATTTTTATAGACATGCTTTGACTGATAAGCCTCTATTAATAAATCAATCAGGTGGCACCACTGCTGCTTGCAGGAGCAAGCCCCAGTTTTGGTGGGGGGCTCACAAAGGAAACAATGAACACTACTCACAGCATGATATATGCACAATAGTTTTATTTTGCTTTTTATATAAAAAATTCCTAAAGACTGCAGAACACTTGTATCCTAATTTTTTACACAAATGCTTCCGGCACCCTCTTCATTTTTAAGCTAATTCCCCCCTAACAACTTGTGATGGTGTGGGTTGCCCTGATTTTTGACCTAGTCACCCTTTCTAGTGGGATATGTCTAAAGCTGCAATATGGCACTTGGTTGACTTAGTTGGCAGGTTTAATATATCCAGAAAGCTGGGGTATGGAGTCACACATGGCTCAGAGTCCATCAGCACAGGCAGGGAACCTGCCTTCATGTCCATGCCTCCAAAATTAACCAGACCTTTCTCCTTACTGTGCAAATAACAGGCTCTGGTCATCGACCAGTCCTGTCGTAAGGGATTCTCGCTCCTGAAGAGCATCCCATCTTCAAGTGGGGAAGCAGCTTGTACAGTCAAGCAATTGTCCACGGCAGTCCCAGGCGCTGAGACTCCATCAGTCAACTGTACCGTTGTAAGACTTGTTGAGCTTGTTGAACGTGAACTCTACGTTATGCGTGGAAATAGGCTTTCGGTAGAGAGGATTGGATGCCTTTAGAGAAATGAGCAGACAAAAAGAACGAAGATGAGGAACAAAGTCCGTGTCATGGTAAAAATGTGTATAATCTCCCCTTCCTGTGCCAACTAGTTTGGAGATAGCACTGTTTGGCTTTGGGTGAAATAAGCACTCAGATCCAAAAGCAGTGTTGTTTGTCCATAGCTGATCCATCAGACCCATCTTCCATCCTGCCTGCAGGCACAGGTAATGCCCTCAAATGCTGAGCAATCCCACCCAAAGCCTCCCAGGAAGGGCTCCATCATAGACCTGAGCAACCTGGCTGCTGCCACAGTCAGAGCCTGGTCTCCTCTCCCCTACCTTCTTCAGCCTCCAGCTCTGCTGGGAATTGGATGATGAAACCAAAGGCTGGGTATAATTTTGCAGAGTATTTGTAACTTGCCAAGGGGAAGGCAGTGCAACGTGCTGGACCCTGAAGTGTGTCATGAGGCACTGCAAGGCATGAGCACCTACATCTCATTTTGGTCCAGTGGGGAGGTGTCCCATGGCAGGGGGTTGTGACTAGTGATCTGTAAGGTCCATTCCAACCCCTAAAATTCTATGATTCTGTGCTCCCTCATGCCTGCCACCCTTCTCTATTGCTGCAGAGCTGTTTGCTGCCAGCACACACCCACAGGCCCCCAGCAGCACCCTTGCCCCAGGCTCACCATTTCATATCTGGCCCGTGAGCGTTCACTCTGGAACCGGTCGAACTCCCGTCTGTCGTGAATGGTGACCAGCAGCTTCCAGAGCCCCAGCAGGATGATGCCGATCAGCACCACACTGCCAATCACTGCCAGCACGATCGTCACGGTGCTGGGGGCTGAGCTGCAGGCTGGTGATGACAGGGAAAACCCAATTAGCTCCAGTGTAAGTGTATCCCAGATTAGGATACCGGCACGTAATAACCTGGACTGCAGCCACTGAGCAAGTGACCTCAGGGCAGCGCTAGCGGCAGTGACTAAATTAAAAAAAGCAACAGTCCCCTCTGAAATCAAAGAGACTTTTTTGATTTCTTTTTTATTAGATACATTCTTGGCTAGAGGCAGGTCAAAGGGACAGCTCTCATGGACGTCATCAGAGCCAGCACATCACATAGTGCCTCGGGGGAAAAATAGGGCTGCAGTGCCCAAGAGCAATGCAGGGCTTTAATGCCAGGTGACCCATGTGGGACACAGAGCGTTAAGGTGCCTCTGGCAAAAGCCAGCTCAGCTTCTGGCCCACACAGAGGCAGGTGATCACTAAGAGCTTTAAGTACATTAACTGTCAGTTAATCAACTGGTCTTTCAATTAAGTGCAAGCTGCAGCACAAATGAAATAAAACATTCTGAATCTCAGTCTTTCCCATATTGGCCCGTGCCTCAGAGGACCAGAGCAGATAATAAGAAGCTACTGCTGGGTGCTTGCCAGCTTGTCTTGCAACACCACATGGAGTTTTCTTTGAGAAACTGCATTGCATGTGATTAAAATAACGCTGGGAAGCACAGCTGTCTGTGCAGCCTGGGAAGGGGAGCAGAAACACACAGTCCTTACACGGCCTGGGTCAGAGCTAGCTCTTTGGCCATGTAGAAATCCTGAACTGGTGCAGGGCTTTCCTAACACCCTGACTTAACCAGCAGCAGCACCAGGTGTTCCCTTCTGATGTTTCTGCTCCCAGGTGCTGTACCTCCAAATCAGGCTCTTTGCTACTTAAATAGGCTCTGTTTAATTCAGCATCCTAAGCTGCAGAAAACTCTTCACCCACTTGCTAGCAATGCTGGTGGCTCAGGTGCAAGTTTTACTCTCAGAGTCCTTTTTTTTAACTAAGTTGGGAGCATTTGGAGCTGGGTTTCAGCACTGTAAAACACTTCATTTTAAATCATCCCAGGGTATCTGCTCACACACACAGGCAGTGAAAACAGTCCTTCCGCAACCCGTGAGGCTCCCCAGCAGCCCATCACCTCTCCTGAGGCAGCCTGTGTTGTTAAAAAGGAAACCCAAGGGAGGGCCAACCTGGCTCTTTGAGGACGGTGAGGTTGGATTTCCCACTGGCAAGCTCCAGGTATGTGAACTTCATGACACAGTTGTTGACTGGGTAGGCGCAGAGGATCGCGTTTGGATCATCCGTTTCTGGAATGTGATGCAGAGTCACAGAATGTTATTTGGGATTTTATATATTTTTTAAAAATCCTAAAGACTGCAGAACTTTTGTACCCTATTTTTTCACACAAATGCTTCCAACACACTCCTGTTTTTAATCCAATTACCCTCTAACAACTTCAAATGGTGTAGGTTCTCTGATTTCAAACTCGTCACCCTTTATAACGGGATATGTCTAAAACTGCAATATGGCACTTGGTCAACTTAGTTGTTAGGTTTAATATTAGGAATTAGCATAATTCTCCATTGCAAGATGAGCAGAGCTCTCCACAGATGCCTGGGAGCAGAGGAATGGGGCACAAGCCTGGAAAGCAGCACAGTCTGATCACAACTCATGCAAATTGTAACTGAGCAGCATCCAGACTTACTGCTTGAGAAAATGTGGCATTTGGCAAACATGGCATGGCAAACAGACTCAGGCTCAGACACACACTCACACTCTTCCTTCACACAAGTCTGCTTTGGCTATAAATACTGTTTTCTTCTTAATTTGCTAAATTTCTTGAAAAGTGGAAGGCACAGACTCAGATGGGGCCAGCAGCAGCCCACGGCCACCTCACGCTCCAGCTGTGCTGAATAGCTCCAGCTCCGGAAATGGCTGGGAAGTTTGTTTTTAAAGAGTGATAGAAGAGGAGAATGGGAAGGGGAGGAGGGAGGAAGAGAGGGGGAAGGGAGGAGCTGGTTGGAAGAATGATGCATAGATGGGGGAGTTGCAAGAAATGAGAAGACTTTATTCCCATGCCCATATGGGCGCTGTGTTTTTGCCTAGCTAACATATCATAGGACCAGGCAGAGCCTGTTACTGCTCTGATCACTGCTCTGGTAAGGTGCTCCCTGAAGAAGGCTACTTCACAGAAGCAATTTAAGATTCAGCAAAACCATCACCTGAGTTTTACAGCTCCGGTTCCAGGGGTGATTTCAGCAGAGCCACTGTCCTGCATATCCACTGCTCATTGGGTGTCCCTGTTGCAGGGACAGTGACTGGAGGGAGATGGGGCAGCATCTCCAGCCATGACATGCATGGGCTGAGAGTTTCAAGGGAGAAGAACAGATTTGGGGGCACAATGTTATTGACTGGAAAAAATATGACCTTGGCTTAGGCACCTGGAAACTGCTTCCCACAGCTCTTCTGCTCACTCGTATCCATGCCTGTCTGTCATGCTGAAAAATGATCACATTAATGACCATAGTTACTCCAGCCCCTTAGCTCTCTCCTGTCTGTTTGTTTTTCCTTTCAATGCCTTTGACCTGCATCCAGCTGGGAGATTAATACCCTCCATTTCAACAGCTGAGCCCAGATGCAGCTGCCCCTGTGGTGAGTCCTGATGAGTTCCTGGTGTGGACAAACCTCAGCTGTTCTTACCCTGGGACAGAAAAACCTGCTCTACCTACACAGTGGTCTTTTAAAGGCAGGGCTGGAGAAGTGCTGATTGTTACAAAGCAAAGTACTTATTAGATTAATGTAAATAAAACTTCCATATTTTTTGACTAATGCCCTTCTGAGTTAGGCACCAAGTCTCAGTTCCTGCAGGTCTAGCTGCTTTTGCTCCCATCCTTGCACCATTATTCTGCTAAAAGATACAGTGATTAAAGTCTCAACAGTAATGATCTCTGTTGATCTTCACCAGGTTTCAGAGATCACATATGAGAGGTGTGATGGCCCCACTGAGCTTTCAGGTCCACTGATGTGTGCTATTGCCAGGTTCAGCTCAGTGATGGACCTGTCATGCTCCTCTTTGGAACCATCAGGAATGCAAATGTAATGTTGCAGAAGCAAAGAAGATCCTGCAGAGTCCAATGCAAGTCATACAAGCCTCCCACAAGGCAACATTCTGGCTTGTGAGTTGAATGACAGATGCCTCTACTCTACAAAGCTTTGAAGCACTGGCTGCTCATAACCAGAGTCAAAAGGCACTTGGGATGTTTCAGGGTGTGTTCATTGCAATTCGATATTTAAGGAAGTCCCACCCTCCTCTGCCAGGATTTGCAGACCTATGTATTCTGTGACACGTATCAGCGTTTGGCATCTCAGCAGGGACTTTTAGTATGTGCAAAATAATACAAAAGCACTTGAAAACCAGGATTTGGCTAAGTCTGCCCATGAAGAAGTCTGTAGTCCCCTAGAGCTTTCTTTAGGAATATTTTGCTTTACCTCTTTCTCTAGCAATCCAGATCTCTGAGCCACAGAGAGCCTTGAGCTTCCAAGAGCTCAGCACCACATGCAGTCAGACTGCAATAGTTCAACAGAAGAATAAACATAATTCCCCAAAATATCTTAAACCAGAAATTTGGCTGTGTTTTTCTCTGAAAGCCATGCAGGGGGCTTAGCAAACCACAGCCCAGCCTCACCTTCCACAGCACAGTCAGCACAAAAGCTGCCTTTGGCATGGTGCAATAACCAGGCAGGGGAGTGAGCTTTAATCCCCAGTATTTGCTGGCTCCTAAGAAATGCAGGCCAACTGGACCTTTGAAAGAATCTTTGTGTGGTTTGGACTTCCAAACTGCTCATGGTGTGCTGGTGTAGGTGCACTCCCTGCTAAACTGCAGGGAGAAGGGAAAGAACTAGAGCAAAATTCCCAAAGGGAAAGGTAGGAAACCCCACAGGTCATAATTTAAAAGATAGACACTGGATGTGAGAAGAGTCAATGGGAAAAACATTGCCTGCAGGCAGCTCAGGAGGAAGGGAGTGAAATTCCTACCTCTATAATCTGTGGGAAGGGATGTCAGATGTGGACAGTAGTTTGTCTCTGCTTGATCTACATCCCTCCCTCCAAGGGGTCAGGATTACAGTCAAAGCTGACACAAGTTTGTATCCCCTCCCCTAAATAGCAACCAGGGACTCCCACAATGGATCTTGAAAAGAAGAGGGAGAAGGTAATCTGCTGAGAGATGCACATGTGGGGTGACCACTAGGAAATGACACAAAGGGCAACAGAGGATCTTGCCTGGGGGACTTGTAGCAGTCCGTTCCACCAAAGCAGAACTCGTTTTCAAAACAACTTTGCTTTCTCTTACAAGCTCACTTCTTCCAAGATGAATTATCAGAAGATTAGAGAATGCCTTTTTTGAGGGTGATACTTTGTCCTTTTGTACTCTCTCACAGCTCGTTTCATCATCAGTCTGATCTGACCTCATCCCACTCTCTTTGTTCCTTGCACTGGGTGGTAGTTGTTAGATGTGGTAAGATGTTATTTCAAATCAAAGAGTTTTTTACTTCAATATAGATTACAATCTGGAAGAGGGCCACATATACCACATATACACACATATATACTAGGTACACACATACATTTGTGAATGCCAGGTGTTCCCTGAGGCTTTCTTTACAGACATGTCTTGTTGTGGTTAAGAGGAGTTCAATGCCACAGTCTCTGGCTCCCACCTCCCGCAGTCCTGCTGCTGCCAACTCACCGAGAACATCCACAGTGGTGATGATCTCGTCCTTGCAGTGCTTTTGGCAGGTTTGGTTATCAGCCAGTCTTCCTGAGTTAAACAGCTTGCATTCAATGCAGTCCCTGCAGGAACACACAGGAACGGAGGGGACGATTAAGCACCCGTCAGAAACCACATGAACATAGATTCACCCCTCTGCAAATGACTCCCTGGGTGCAGGTCTGGACCCTGCATATCTGTACCACAAGGAAAGGGCAACTCAGGGCCAAGCATCTCCATCTCAACGCTGAATTTATTCGAGAGGTGGATTCAAAGAATGTGAAAAATATTCACAGAAAATAGCTGATAGGTTTGGGGTCTGCCCTTTGGATGTCAGGAGCTGCATGTCAGCAGAGATCAAGACAGGCAGCACTGCTGCTCTGTGCTAGTCTGAGACTGATGCCTGGGGCACCTCCATCACTGCGAGGCAGGCAGTGTTCCCAGTCCTCCCCTCCTCTGCAGCTCACAGCTCTCTGGGCCCAGACATTTGCAGCTCAGGGTGCAGCAAAACTGGGGTTGCCAGCCTTTCCTGCAGAGTGGGAACACGAACCTCTGAGAGGACATGGGCAGCAACACTTGCTGCTCTACCTGGGATACTCTCAGGTTGTTTTGCATGGGTTCTGAGCAGTGGTAGCCTTGCCTGGGGCTGCTCACCCCTGTTTAACAAAGCAGAACTAATTCCTTAGCTGTAAAGTCCCCCAGGAACCAAAGAGTTGCCCTTCCCACCAGCAAGAAGTCCCTGCTG